CAAATATTTATGTGAAAACTCAATTCCTATTAAGTCTATTGCGTACAGGTACGCTTGACTTTTTGTAAATACTTAATAAATGTGATCTTACATTCGTACACACAAAAATGTCAAATCTTAACTTGCGTACCGGTAGATATATAAGATGACTGAGGTATACTGAGAGGTTCTATTTCAGCACATAAACTTGGTAAGTTGCAGTCTTTCTTATCATTTTTCATACTACAGATCAAATATACATAACAAACACTAACATTTAAACTTTAATATATTTTTACAATTAATGAAAAATGGCAAAATACCCTTTTGAGTTTGAGTGGGGTGAGTACAATTTATTTGGTTACTCAACGGAAAATTAGGATACCCAATTGAGATGAACACATGCGAGTTCATAACTCAATGACCCCAAAACTTATCTGTAGCTCCGATACTGTGTCTTAAAGCATCAGATTCAGACTCGGTTAGTTTATTGATTTGCGTGTCACCGTACTCCGAGTGTGTAATCTTAGCTCGAACATTTATCACTGGATTACTTGGTCGGGGTTCCGGACGCGCTGTGAGTTCGATGCTTATAGTTACTGTGTAAGTCGTTACGCGTTTTGTAAACGATGTTTTACATGGACCACCCGCCTATTATACAGGTTCTACCCGTGAAGATCCGGGTTAGAATTGATCTTCAGTAACCCATGCTTGTAAGAGGCGACTAACGGGATCGGGTGGTCAGGCTGGCTGACTTGGTTGACACATGTCATCGTATCTCAATTGCGTAGATCGATGCTCATGCTGTTGATCCCTGGATTGTCTGGTCCAGACCCGATTATTTACAGACCGCCGCCTTATAGCTGGAATATTGCTGAGTGCGGCGTAAAATTAAACTCACTCATTTTACGGGTTCAGAGCTTGATGAAGACAGGAGGGATGGATAAAAAAAACTACATTGGATATTACAATATATTTATGTAACTAGCGCATTGTCGTACCACAAGATGTTGCTGAACAACAAGTATTTCTTTGAAAAAGGAACAAGGTGTCTTCATTGCAAGTAACACATATTTTGCAAACTTTTACAGATATTAGGTTTGTTTCTGGAAAGTTAAGAGTTGGAAACATGATAATGTTGATGGTTGAGCGCAAATCTGAACAAAATGTGCTCACAAAACAAATGTCGAAATCATCCTGATCTTTTGGGATAATACTCAATGGACATACACGTTTCTGTCTTGGTATATTGATGGGGCGGTGGAGAAAGCCCGGTGGTTAAAGTGTTCGCTAGTAACGCCGAAGACCGGGTTGATTCCCCACATGGGTACAATATGTGAAGCACATTTCTGGTGTCCCCCGCCATGATATTGCTGGAACAATGCTAAAAGCGACGTAAATGTAAACTCACTCACTATTTTTGACACACGTTTAAATGTTTGACTTTTTTTCAATTGAAATGGTCGATTAATACCCTTCCGGGCTAGGAAGCTTTATTTGAAGGAGTCCGCCTTTGTGGTATTGCTGGAATATGACTGAAAGCGGCGTAAAACCATACTCAGTCACTCACTCTCGCAAGATGACACATCGTGATATAACTGAAATACTGAACAAAACCATGACATGCCGTGATATAACTGAAATACTGAACAAAACCATGACACATCGTGATATAACTGAAATACTGAACAAAACCATGACACATCGTGATATAACTGAAATACTGAACACAACCATGACACATCGTGATATAACTGAAATACTGAACAAAACCATGACAGGCCGTGATATAACTGAAATACTGAACAAAACCATGACACATCGTGATATAACTGAAATACTGAACAAAACCATGACACGCCGTGATATAACTGAAATACTGAACAAAACCATGACACATCGTGATATAACTGAAATACTGAACAAAACCATGACACATCGTGATATAACTGAAATACTGAACAAAACCATGACACATCGTGATATAACTGAAATGCTGAACAAAACCATGACACATCGTGATATAACTGAAATACTGAACAAAACCATGACACATCGTGATATAACTGAAATACTGAACACAACCATGACAGGCCGTGATATAACTGAAATACTGAACAAAACCATGACACATCGTGATATAACTGAAATACTGAACAAAACCATGACACATCGTGATATAACTGAAATACTGAACAAAACCATGACAGGCCGTGATATAACTGAAATACTGAACAAAACCATGACACATCGTGATATAACTGAAATGGTGAACAAAACCATGACACATCGTGATATAACTGAAATACTGAACACAACCATGACACATCGTGATATAACTGAAATGCTGAACAAAACCATAACAAATCGTGATATAACTGAAATACTGAACAAAACCATGACACATCGTGTTATAACTGAAATACTGAACAAACCATGACACATCGCGATATAACTGAAATACTGAACAAAACCATGACACATCGTGATATAACTGAAATACTGAACAAAACCATGACAACTATTGAGCCAAGCTATGCAACGAATAGATTCCTCACATGGGTACAATGTATGAAGCCCATTTCAGGTGTCCCACGCCGTGATATTGCTGGAATATTGCTAAAAGCGGCGTAAAGCCATTCGCATTCAATCACTCAAAGTGAGTGTTGAAGAAGAGGGACATATGTGTCACTCTGGCATCTAGAGGGTTCCACGCAACTCACTCAGTCACCCTCGATTATCCAGTGGGGTAGCCTTGTGGTTAAAGCGTTCGCTCGTCACGTTCGATTCCCGACATTGTGAAGCCCATTCTAGGTGATATTGCTGGAATATTGCTGAAAGTGCAGTGAACTCATACTAACGTACGTTGTTTGGAAAGGGATTTGTTTGGTATTTCGAAATTCTTTGACTGTTGAAATATCACTGGCGGCCGTCGTCTGGTGTACTGGTGCCTTTTGGTAGTTTTGTATTTCTGAATAAAACATTTTTTGAGTTTCCATGGCAACAAGCTTGAGTTCGACAGAACTTGGTGTTGGTGCTCTTTTGCGGAACTGAACTTTAAAACCTTTCAATACTCTCCTTCCACTTTGCAATATAGTCACTGACTTGGTTGACACATATCATTGCATCCGAATTGTGTAGAATGATGCTCATGCTATTGATCACTGGATTATCTGGTCCAGATTCTATTATTTACAGACCGCTGCCATATAGTTGGAATATTGCTGAGTGTGGCATAAAACTTAATTCACTCACTCACTGCTGTATACACGACAAAACATTTGACATAGTCATAACTAACTGACAAATTCATGAAGAGTATTTTGTCATTGTGGGGTATATTGGTGACTTTGTCTTCTTGTTCAAAAATGAATGTATAAAGTTGCAACATTATGGGATTCTATACGCCTCTATGCAGGTTAATAGTCCCTTTTTAGATCTAATAAAAGTTTGCGTCAGAAAAAAATAAAAGTAAAAAAAACCCAAACAAGCAACTTTGAAAACCAGCGGGTAAACGCTGCATTCAATTAACTTTCCAGATACATAACGGTAGTCTATAAATAATCGAGTCTGTGTCAGACACTCCAGTGATAGACATCATGGGCTTCAATCTATCTGCGTGGATACGATGACATGCTACAACCAAATAATTAAATCTGACGAAACACCTCACTCATCATCGAATAACTGACATTGTGACTACGTGTGGAGATAATCTAAAAGGTGTGATAACGGGTCGATGATGACGCTCATTAGGCAAAGTCCGAGATCTCGCGCAAACGTCACCTCTTGTCATTATTCCGCTCCTACTTAAATAGCGGCCATTATTATTTGGGCATACCGGTCACTGCTGAAGGCGTGTATTTGCAAGGGTGAGAACATTTTTCTTTTCAAAACACCCCTTTCTCTGTGTCCTCGATATCCATTTAACATTTTTGTTAGTGTGAAATCCGGGAAAAATTAAATGAATTTCAAGTATGTTTAGAATATATCAAATGTTTGTCCTAAAACGGTTCTATGATTGTAATTTTAAGCAGAGATAGTCCACCTGAATGCAGCTATACGATGTGAAGCGTAACTATATGTCTGACATAACTGCTGGCTTTATCCGACACCAAACTGCACATGCACTTCATTTGAATCACGATAGTTTCAACGGTCATTTAATAAACTTTCAGGACAAAAGGGAGCGTGCGCACCCCAGCAAAACACACACACACACACACACACGCACGCACACACACACGCACGCACGCGCGCACACGCACACACTCACACATCATTCATTCTTACTTTCATTCATTTATTTATTAAAAGAGACCAAGATACAACCAAAGAATTATTTTATGTAAATCGGCTGTACGGATAAATAAAGAATCTACTAAATAAAAAAGTAGGCCATCTATTAGATGCATCGATCGTTGCTGTGCAGATCTCGTTACGATTTTATAGTGACAGCATAGGCAGTAATTAGTCATGTTGTAATATATTGCGCATTGTCACGATCGATATCGGCCTTAATGGGCGTGTGAGTGCCAATAATTTTCATATGTTGGCGACCATTTACCTTAAAACTGAACGTACACTTGATTAAAGATGTATTGTACATTTGGGTGCATGGTTCATATCGTGGCTATAGACGATGACACGTGAGTTGTCCTTTCGTCCCAATTTCCGTTCGAACTTCGCCCAATATATGGGCTCCTCGCAGGATCCATAGTACTCGCTTCAGCTTGACGGAAAAGACACCAGCGATGTTGTGAGCTAGTATCATCGACACTTTATGTAAGGTCAACCTTGATATGTGAATGTCACGGTCAGACCTTTTTAGACTGACAATAGAAAACTATTTACGATTCTGCATTTGGCACGAACAGTTGGTGGATGTGTAGTGGTTGTCGGGGATTTACACACGATTTTCTCTGATCAGGTATGTATTGCCATAGATGTATTTGGCGAGTCGTTAGAGTCAGTTTGTTAAGCAGGTGCGTGATCAGGTGGTGATAGCAAGTACAGGTGTCACTCGTGAAATACATATATCATAGGTGAACGTATCTTGCATGACGCAGTTACTACGCCATTCAGACTTGAGTTGACATTATAGAACGATGTGATATAATAGCCTATCCTCATCGTTGCCGGTAAGTTGTCCTAATTAATTAATCTCATCCAAACACCAACAGTTTTTTTGTTATGTATTTAATATTATGTCGGTCGGTCAAGAATGATATTATTTTTTAATTGAATTTTCATTTGTTCATATCCACATCAGAAAAGGAGAGAAAAAGCATCTCCGATGATCTGTTACTATGAATCTGCTTTGTTCATGTGTGACAATGAATCGGCATGTGAAAAAAAGCTGTCATAACAAAAAATGATATATTCTGTTTTCTTTGGTACCAGGAAATAGACAACATAGATAAAACAATATATGGATGATAACTGCTTTATTTCTAGAACATGACGTTTCGATACAGGTTCTTGTGCCGTTCCTTTAAAACACATGGGCTAGATAAACCTTATAACACCCTGTTACATATGAATGGTACGGGAGAGTACAGGTGACTACAGTGTCCTTTTTATGAGGACATACGTCTTACTGTATTACCTAATATATTCAGTAACACATCTTTTACTTGTAATACTTTAGATTTTAAATTTAATTTCTTGTTATCTTCTACTGCTTTCTTATCTAACTTAGGTTTAATGTGTTTTAAGATGTTTTATCGTCGTAAATGTTTTAAGAATATTTCAATTAATTCTATCTAGTCATTATTTTATTAAATATTTTTACAATTTTATGTACCTTATATATACATCGTACTGTACGGTTATTTTATCTTATTGAAATAAGTTATATTTTACAGTTTTATACCGTGTCTCTTCGGCCTATTGAGGCCCTGCATAATTTATTTTACCTTTGTATATTTATTGTGTGTATACCTTGTAATTTTATCGTGACACGTTAATAAACAATTCATTCATTCATTCATTCACTAATGTACAAGGTTGAGGTGAAATTAACAATGTGATGATGACGATTAAAAGGGATAACAGAGGATCACAGGGATATACATAGAGGCCAATGGAAGCCAGTGATACATAGAGTGTAGAGTGGTTGTTCAGGAGGCTAGGGTTGATTGATGAGCTCATCGTAAGCAGTGGGACCCGTGAAGATCCGGGGTAGAATAGGTCTTCAGCAACCCATTTGCTTGCCATAAAAAGCGACTATCTTGTCGTAAGAGGCGACTAACGGGATCGGATGGTCAGTTTCGCTGACTTGGTTGACACATGTCATCGGTTCCCAATTGCGCAGATCGATGCTCATGCTGTTGATCACTGGATTGTCTGGTCCAGACTCGATTATTTACAGACCGCCGCCATATAGCTGGAATATTGCTGAGTGCGGCGTAAAACTAAACTCACTCACTCACTCGTAAGCAGTGGGGATAAAGTAACCTTGATCTCCGGTAATCAAGGGTCGGTATCGTTTGATGTTAATTCTTTCAGTTATCTTGCGTTTGGTAAAGTCATATTCACTTCTTTCTGAGATGTTTTTTTCTCGTTTGAAATGCTGATAATTTTAATTGTTGATATAGTTCATTAACCAACAGCAAGGCTTGTAAGTTTAATCCACTGTCTGTTCCTTTACTGACAAGTGGGTGGTGGGGTAGCCTAGTGGTTAATCATTATGTGTTATCTTGTCATGCGGAAGACACACATGGGCACAATGTGTGAAGCCTATTTCTGGTGTCCCCTGCCATGATATTGCTGGAATATTGCTAAAATGTCTCGGAAAACGCAGAATTGTCCGTTCTTCTGCCCTGGAATTTACTCATTTTGAAAGTTGAATCAAGATTGAGTATAAATGAAACAATATTTTGTAGAGTTTGTAATGTCATTCCTGATCACACTCATAAGAGAACTGTTTCAGATCATCTTTCTAAATCTAAACATCCTGCAAGAAAAAACAAACTGCCAGCTGTTCCTTGAATGTCATGAAACTCTAAAATAGTTACAGCTTTGTGTTTAAGAATTGAAGTTTGAAATTCTTCATCATTTTTGTTGTTTCATCAAATATTTATCTGCAGAATTTTGAAAAATGGGATGCTAAATTTATATATATTTGCCAGGGAATTCTTAAAAATTTTCTATGGAATTCAGGAGGGACTGATAATTGTTTAATCATCTTAGAAATACCATTTCTAATGGTCATATATTTTAAAATGTTTGCTCTCTGTGAAACATCGATGCTCATGCTGTTAATCACTGGATTGTCTGGTCCAGATTCGATTATTTACAGACCGCCGTCATATAGCTGGAATATTGCTGACTGCGGCGTAAAACTGAACTCACTCTGTGAAACAAGTCAACCAAGTTTACTTCGTTTCCAGTGAGAGATTAAGTTGCTTGTTATTTTGTTCGACACACAGTATTCTGGCCATATTGTTCGTTTCCTTCAGGATTAGACACCTTGATTCACGATTTGCCGCTCATATATTGATGATAAACATTCAAATCTCACTCCAGCGATTTTACTTGCAGTGTGAACAATTTTGTCTGTTTTAGATTTGAGATGAACTCTCTAGTCTGTCAATAAACAAGTGAATTGTTATCTCCATCTAGTTATCTTTGGTCTAAGGTGATCCAACCTGGACGTTTACTGCTATTTTGTTAAGCAAAAATCTCAGATTATATCAGGGTGTTTTAGAATATTGTTGAATGTATCTATAAACTCCTACACAAAGTCAAGATGAAATGTGGAAACTGAAAAAGAAGTTTTACTTTTTTGAGATGACATTGATAACTCGCCACATCGTATTCACAATTAATTTCTTTTAGGAGATGGAAAAGGTTTAACAATGTAAAAATATCCTGTTAGTTTTTTGCAGGAATAATGGCCTGAATGGCTAGTCTAATATGATATTGATTTTCTCCTATCTGCGATGGAGCATTGAATGAAGTGGTAACTTGTATCAGGAAGGAAGGGTTAGGTAAATAAAAGTGAAAAACCATTTGCACAAATGCATAAAACATCTTTGCTGAAAGAAATGTCTATTGTTCAGTTCCGACTATACATGTATCATGAGCATGTGTTAATGAATCACTATCAAAATAGGGATGACACCAAGAGTTTGTGAAAAGATTAGTCTAACCATGGTAACCAGCCTGGGCAGTGGTGCCCGTGAACTGTTCACCTGAAAAGGTGGTCAATCTTGCAGACTTGGTTGCCACATGTCATTGGTTCCCAATTGCGTAGATCGATGCTCATGTTGTTGATCACTGGATTGTCTGGTGCAGATTCGATTATTTACAGACCGGCGCTATATAGCTGGAATATTGCTGAGTGCGGCGTAAAACTAAACTCAATCACTCGCCTGAAAATATTCAGGGTGGTATGTTAATTTTAAAATAGGGAATTGCATGCTGATATGGGATATGGGAATGAGTATTGAAATTAGCCAATGTGAATCTAAAACTTATTTTGCATGGCGTTAACCATAATTTAGAGGCTTTTGGACAAACAACATGGGAGCTCTGCCAACTTATGCCAATCAGATTATAAGTTAACACATAGTACATCGTCTGTTGGATTTAAGGAAGGCCCAATGGCTGGATGCTTTACTAATTGACTGTACGCTGGCGATTTGGCAACTCAGTCTGTCAGTATGGGCGCGAGTTCCGAATGTCCATTGTTTTTCAGGGTGCCAAGAAGACCAAATGCAAAAGTTATTGTTTAATACCAGCATCTTCCTGGGATTCCTGGGAAAAGTCTTCCTATGATAAGGCCTAAAAAAAAATGTGGTGGTTCCGATTACCCGACAGACCCTTGAATTCTGGTGCCGACCCTAACTTTTTTAAGCTGTTTAAATGACATAAGCTTTTAGATACCATTGTTTTTTCCCAGCACCGACGGACATCGGAAATTCTGATCGAGAAAGTCGACATGATAGCCGAAACCTTGATTGAATAAACAATTATACATTGATAAATGTGTTATTAGTTTGTACTTTACTTATAAAAAAAAAAAAAAATCATACCTACCTACCCTAAATTTTAAAGAGGTGTAATCAGAACTACAACATTTTTTTTATTTGGCCTAATGATCGGTCCCTGATTTCTGGTATTTTCATTTGCAGATACGTTCCCAACATGGAGTGGAGTTTAATGAACCCCATCGGTCTGTTAGAGACTGAGATGGGCTTTATGGCCAATGGAATATACTTTGTATCAGATGAATGTAAAGGTTAGTATCTTGTGATGTAACAGTGACTTTGTAACATTTAAGATCAGTTTTTTGCATGTAAATTTTGTGATGTGACATTAAGTTACGCTAGTCCTCTGGCCCAAGGCTCCTTACGCCTGATGAGGGCAATTTAAAATCTCATGTATATGGTTTATTTCAGTTTAAAGGCTAATAACAACATAGAAATTATATATTAATTCAATAACAGTGTTCTATAGATGAATCTAGTAAAAAGACGAAGACTGTGGATTTGTAAATTTTTATTTGGCAGCGTTTTACCTTTCCCTATTTTCGCATATTTAAAAGAAATCAAATTGTGTGATAAAATATGGATTTTTTTCTCAAAGTCAGTTTTTACCCTTGAATGTGTTATGACTTGGAATTTTAAGAATGCACACCATTTTTATTGTGATTGTTAACAAAGTTTATTTTATGACATTTCCTGCTGTGAATAACAGCTACATTGCTGACGCGGCATTTAGCGATATTTGCTCACTCACCTTGCCCTTCAAAACTTAGGATCCAGAAGACGACATAGCAGAACCTGTTTTTTCAAACTGTGCAGCTATTTTCTGTCAGAACCATGTAAAAAATGCACCTATTTGTGGCACCACTCCAAACCAGTTCACATCTAAATGATCTAATTTGTATTTTGAAAGGAGGCAGTGGGGTAGCCTAGTGGTTAAAGCGTTGGCTCGTCACGCCGAAGACCCGGGTTCGATTCCCCACATGGGCACAGTGTGTTAAGCCCATTTCTGGTGTCCCCCGCCGTGATATTGCTGGAATATTGCTAAAAGCGGCATAAAACTAAACTCAGTCAGTCAGTCAGTATTTTGAAAGAGAAGTACTTCAGTACTGCAAATAACAAACTACTTGATATCGACCTTGAAGTTCTCAGCCAATCAAATATGTATATATCCATCATCATTGCAACCTGATTCTGTTCAAATCATTATTCAGATATAGTAAGGACAGAGTACATCTATCCACAAAGATTTCTGAATATCTTTTCCGGCATGTATTTCTCATTTTGGATGCTGATGTAATGTTTTAGAGACCCTTCAAGAAATGTTGCAACTGCTGCTGACTTCGGATGGCGCCGATGGTCAGATCAGACAAAAACTTGGACAGCAGGACATTATCAGAAAGGTCAGTGTGTTTTGGTATTAGCTTAAACAAAACATAATTCTTTTCTTTTGCATTGTTTTCAAAACTCGCCAGTTAAGGGTGGAAGATTAACTTCAGCAGCTCATAACCATTTTGTGGAAACAAATTGATGGTTGTGGCAATAAATGAATACTATTGACCATTGTGGAAACTTCTATGTCCTAATTTTTTTGAATTTCACGATTGTTTGAATTATGCAGGTCTGTTAAAATGAATGTTTGATTTTCCAATTTTAGGTCGAAATATTTATGACTCAGATAAACTTGAAGAGCATGCCTCAGGTTTTTAACTTTTTGAGGAAGCTTACATGACTCAGGTCCATCGGAAAGCATGTTTTAGTTTTTCCACTTTTTGTTTCTTTTAGAAAGCATTTTTTTGTGCGGACACTAACATATGTCTTTTCGTTTCAGGATCTGTTGCCTCTACTCATGGCTTTAGAAGAAGACTCAGAACTTTTCCATGCAGCCATTGAGTAAGTTTGCAAGGGAATTCACGAATTGACCATTTCGAGGTTTAACTTATCCAGGACACGTGAAGATCCGGGTTAGAATTGATCTTCAGTAACCCATGCTTGTCCTAAGAGGCGACCAACGGGATGGGGTGGTCAGACTCGCTGACTTGCTTGACACGTGTCATTGTATCCCAACTGCGTAGATCGATGCTCATGTTGTTGATCACTAGATTGTCTGGTCCAGACTTGACCGCCGCCATAAAGCTGGAATAATGCTGTGTGTGGCGTAAAACTAGACCTCACTCACTCACTAACTTATCCAGGGAATGTACGCTTCTCTGCCTAAGAGGAATCTTCAACATGTTAAAATGCCAGATTTCATCAACTAAAATGGGGCGGTGGGGTAGCCTAATGGTTAAAGCGTCGGCTCGTCACGCCGACGACCCAAGTTTGAATCCCCACATGGGCACAATGTGTGAAGCCCATTTATGGTGTCCCCTGCCGTGATGTTGCTGGAATATTGCTAAAAGCGGCGTAAAATCAAACTCAGTCAGGCAGTCAGTCAGTCCGAGGTACAGTGAAACCTCTGTCCTATTGTTCCCTAATGAACAATAAAAATAGCTTACCCCAAATGGGCCTCTTCCTGCCTCAGCGTTGGCAATTTCTCCATTTCACCCTACTGGATGGTTGGGTGGATTTCCTCTTGTCCTAATACACGCTACTGCTCGGTTATTATGGACTATATCTCTAAATTTATGCTTGTATATTCTTCTTATCACCTTTTTACATCATCGCCATGGGATACATGTATTAAAGTGCGGCTATTTCTCTTAATTGCTCACAATATTCATCACTGGTTTATTCATTTACTACATCCTGCTGTGGTCATATAACTGGAATATTTCTGAGTGCAACGTCAAATAACAGCCAATATTTCACGTGTCTGCGATTCGTCCAAAAATTACACTTAGCTCGGCTCATGATGTACTGTTTTCCTTCAGACTTCTCTCGCTGCTAACACAACCTTTGAGTCTGGGACAAAATAGCCTCCAAGATGGATTTGAAGAGCAGGCGCGGTCGAAGGCTGTGCTCGCCTTACTACGACAAGCTGACGACGTTTGCTGGAGCGTGGAGTTTTTTGCTAAGTTTAAGAAGGAAGTCATGAATCGTCTTGAAAGGGTTGGTATAACTTAATTTTATTTCGATCCACATAGTTTCTTCACTTTTATTTCACTGAGTTCCATACCCGTCAAGATAGGGGTTAGAATTGATCTTCATTAACCCATGCTTGTAAGAGGCGAATAACGGACCGGGTTGTCAGGCTCGCTGACTTGGTTGACACGTCGTCCAATATTCCAATGGTGTAGATCGATGCTTATGTTGTTGATCACTGGATTGTCTAGTCCAGACTCGATTATTTACAGACCGCCGCCATACAGCTGGAATATTGCTGAGTGCGGCGTAAAACTAAACTCGCTCGCTCACTCACTCACACACTCACTGAGGTCCCATTAGGGATGAGTTATAACTAAGTGTTCATATTTGTAACTCTTATTGATCTTTGTTCTGACATAAATTTTGTTTCTTCCAGGCTTCAGATGGTGTCTTGAATCCATTAGATTGTGAAACTATTAACTACTGTCTGTTGCTTATCCGAAACTTGTTCTACTTTGGAGAGACAGACCGCAAGGAACACATCAATAACTTCAGATTAAGGTTAGTGTTCAGACTTCTTCCAATTTATGTTGACCTCCACCGAGACTTTGATTCACCTTGTAAGCAAGGCTTGTTTGACCTTGACCTCTGCCAAGGCTTATTTGACCATGACCTCTGCCAAGGCTTATTTGACCTTGACCTCTGCCAAGGCTTATTTGACCTTGACCTCTGCCAAGGCTTATTTTTGTGAACTAGAAGCAATTGCATTGGTTACTTAAAATTGACCTCAACCACTGTTTTGGTTGATCTCTACCTCTTCCTTGTAATTGACCTTGACCTCTTCCTGAGATTTGGTTGACCTTCACCCCCTGTTGTCTAACAAATAAAATTAAACCAGTAAATGCATAACTTGTTTTATTAAACAGACACATTTGAGCCGAACGATCATGTTGTAATTTTACCTCCTGTAGGATGATATTTGAGAGCGGCCTGGATGAGATGATCATGGCAGTCATTCGTCACCACCAGAAGGTAGGAGATAACATCCAGAATTTATGTATTAAATCATTTCAGTTGAGTGTGACATTAGGCATAATTCATTCGTTAGCAGACACCCACTCTCTCCCAGTGTATCCCAAAAGGTACCTGTGTACCATGCTGTTTGTAAGAGACTATCGAGGTACCATGCAGTCTGTAAGAGGCTATTGAGGTACCTTGCTGTCTGTAAGTGGCTATTGAGGTACCTTGCTGTCTGTAAGAGGCTACCGAGGTACCATGCTTATTGTAAGAGGCTACCAAGGTACTTTGCTGTCTGTAAGAAGCTACCGAGGCACCATGCAGTCTGTAAGAGGCTACCGAGGTACCATGCTGTTTGTAAGAGACTACCAAGGTACCTTGCTGTTTGTAAGAGGCTATCCAGGTACCTTGCAGTCTGTAAGAGACTACCGAGGTACTTTGCTGTCTGTAAGAGGCTGCTGAAGTACCTAGCTGGTTTAAGAGGTGATGTCATTGTTTGATTGGTGACAGGCACAGTGACAGGGTGATTGGAATGATAGCATGCTCATTATAGCAAAACTTGCCTGTTCAAGACTATTAAATACACGCTAACATTTGTCTTGGTAATGGAATAAGAATCCACCCGAACGCTTGCTCTATGGAGTAGTAATCTTCCTTATACAGCTGGAAAAATGGAGTGTGGCGTTCAACAAATAAATGTCTTCTAATACAGTTGAGATGTCTCATTCCTGTATAGTTTCCGGTACAAGTAGTTCCCTTTGTTTCAGATCTCGTTCACAGTGTCAGTTGTCCAGATCCTTTCCTTCCTCTACAAAGACAATGTAAGTAAATCTACGACTATTTCACTAATGATATTATAAGTTACGCAGTGTTTTGAAAGGGTGTACGGGACTGTAAGACCCTTGTAAATTCCGTATTTCCTGAGGTGCCTCCATTTTAATTTACTGTAACTGCTCAAGTGAGAAAATATTTTGGAAGGATGGAGGGTCCAAGATCATGATTTTGAGTTCATTATGACTTTAATTTACGGTAACTGCTTAAAAGAGAAAATATTAGGGGAGGATTCAGGGTCCAAGATCAGTATTTTGAAAAGCATCATTTTCATGTGCAGGTAAAGATTCTGCTGCGATCACAACAACCAATGTCCCCTGCGAGCTCCAACGTATATTCGTCTGAGGAGCAGTGCCTACAAGCAATGGCCAACCTGGGCTTGAACCAGCTGGAACTGGGAGGCCCACTATCCCCAGACGACATCGAGGATCCCACCGTACAACGTCGCTACATAACAGCCATAATGGACACCATGGAACTGAACAAGCCAAAAGTGGATGAAATTGGTGTCTGCTATAGTGACGTCCCAGGCTTGCGAGTTGCCGCCAATGGCACCGATGCAGCCCGGAGTGATCTCGTTGGGTGAGTAACAGATGTATATCTGGACCACAAGGTCGTTGAATGCACATGATATCTTTGCACTTTCCTACAACATTTTCACATGTGAAAAGGTGTCGGTTATACCAAGGAATTCGTCTGTCCAAAGTCATATTTGTTCAACCAGTAATTTGGAAACTATTGCCTTGATTGTTTTCAAATTTGGGGATAGACCTCCAGTGAGTGAGTGGGTATGGTTTTGTGTCGCTTTTAGCAATATTCCATCAATCGCGGCAGGGGACACCAGGAATGGGCTTCACGGGTCACTCACCATGTTTATAGGAGATCTAGAGGTGCTTTGCAAAGTTATTGTGTGCTATTTTTGATTTATCAAGAAGGATAAAATATTTCATCTCTTAAAATGAGTGAGTGAGTTTAGTTTTACGCTGCACTCTCTATATGGCGGCGGTCTGTAAATAATCGAGTCTGGACAATCCAGTGATCAACAGCATGAGCATCGATCTGCGCAATTGGTATATGATGACATGTGGTCAACCAAGTCAGCGAGCCTGACCACCCGATCCCGTTAGTTGCCTCTTACGACAAGCATGGGTTACTGAAGATCAATTCTAACCCAGATCTTTGCGGGTATCATCTCTTAAAAAGTCAAATTTGTTTGACCAATGATTGTACAATCATTTGATGGATTGTGTTCAGATTTGGGTAATGGCTTCTTTGTTTATGGTAAGGAGTAGTGCAAAGTTTGATACAGATATTGTATTTTTGTCAAGAAGAATTATTATTGATTGTTGCTCAGCAGACTTTTCGAGTCATGGCTGGGGGTATTAGTGAGCTTTGCTCATAAAGTTTGACTTGTAAGTGGTATAGTAACTAATATCGTAAACTAGTTTTTTCTGTTTTTTCCAGACAATATTTGACTGACCTCGCACAAAAGTTTCTCTCCGATGGATATGCAGGTTTCATTGGAGATCTGTTGGTGAGTCAGTTAAAACTATAATCAATGCACAAGATAGTAATTTGAGACAGTACATTTACAATGTATGGCTGATGGAACTCTTGTAAGTCTGTTACAAAAGACATGATCAAAATCAGAACCATAAAAAGTTGTGGGTCCTGATCAGAATGTGTAGGCCCAATATTTTAATATATGGAAATAATACTCTTAGTTATTGGGGATGGAAAAGCTGTTGGCCATAAGGACCTGCAGAAAACAAAAGCTGTGGGTCCGAGTGGTTTTCAGTCGGCTTCAGGCCTACGGACCGACGTTAATTTCGGACACTGGTTTTGATGCCAGAATATACCTTTGTTTAATACAGTCTGATACTGATATTGCTAAGTGTGTGTGTTGCTAGTTGTGTTGGGAATTGGTGGAAATCTCACAATTGATGATTGGTTTCTTACCAACGAGCAATCATCGAAAAAAATTGGTTAGCATCATTTTTCAGATTTTCCTATTCAGGTTTTTATTGCAGATAAGTGTAATGTTGTTTTTTTAGTAACTGCGCAAACTGCATTTGCAAATTTCACATCCAATGTATAATGATGCAACTTGCTACTTTAAAGTGATGACTAATATATCATGAACATAAACCTGGAGTCTTCAAGAAATATTCAGTCATGACTTTTCAGCAAGTGAAGTGAGTTTTCTAAGAATTAAACACGTTTTCAGCCCCTGACAACTTCTAAGATATGTTCCATCATCAAGTGTATCAAACAGTAGTTCCAAAATCGTTTGTGTTAGATTATGAGAAAATTGATTGATTGCTTGGTCGTTTCGTCACTGCGACCAATCTTTGATTATTTCAATTAATGGGAACACCACTAGTTGCTAGTCTTGTGGTCATATGCAAAGATAATTGTGATGTTGATGAGATACTTGTTCATTTTTTTAGGAACTTACTCTGTCGAAGAACAGCAGAATATTGGACAATTCCTACCTGCTATGGAGCATATCATTTTTCCTTCGCTTCGCTAGACAGCAAGCAACTCCCCTCAGCAGTCTTGTGTAAGTGTTTTTACCATCCTGCTGTACAGTTAAGTGTCTTCTGGTACATGTGCGTCTGAGATGCTGCAGTTTCCTGTGCAGAGTTACGTCCCTTGGGATACCAGTATTCTGTGATCATGGTTCCTATTCCTGCAGTCTAAGTAAACTTAGGCTCAGTATTATTCGTTACACTGCTTATACTGAGTGTAACAAACCCTAGTATAAGGTCATGTCAGCTAACCTGCGAGCGACCTATGACTGTCCAATCAAATGCGAGACGGACGAACGGATTTAACCAATCAGACAACGACTACTTGTTGTGGTTCGGTGGGACTTACAAAATGGTTTTTGGATTTTCTCTTCCCTTGTACCTTGAAAAAATATGACCGGCGGATCTGTAAAACAAGAAATAAAATTGATCTGGCCTGATCGCGGATCGTATGCTGAAAGGAGATCGGCGATTATTTCAGACATGACAAGATGACTAACAAAAATGCGAGTACAATAATGAATAAATGATCCCTTGAAGTATTAACCATTGCAAACATCAAGCCAAATAACAAATTTTATGAGATATTTCATGTGGCATTTCAGAAAGTGTGTGGATGGTAACCTAGTCTCTTACCTGGTGTACGTTGCCGTCGATTGCTGTGAAAGGCAGTGGTCACTTCAGAGACAAAAACAGTGGTGCGACTTCACCCAGAATAAGTAAGTGATGAAACCTTTAGATTGTTTGCTTGTTTGTTTAAAGCCATACGCCGCCATATTCCAGCTACATGACATGTGTCAACCAAGTCAGCAAGCCTGACCACCCGATCCCATTAGTCGCCTCTTACGACAAGCATGGGTTACTGAAAATCAATTCTAACCTGGACCTACACGGGTGTAAAACCAGTTTAAGTCTTGGCTAGTACAAGCAGCCACACATACACACGCATGCACGTTATCATATGAGCGAAATATTCTTTAGTTTGACGTTAAACTTAGTTCACCTCGCCTCACTCGTTGACTCCATCTACTGTTTGTTACAGGCTCCACCTCACAGTCCTGTCTCTGATACAACTATTCCGCTTGATGCTCTCTGCCACAGAGGATCCAGAATGTCAGCATCTTATAACACCCACCATTAAAGGTAATATCTATTTTCTAATTTAGTTGAAACATGATGTTATAAAAGTGATCAGCGAATGAGGAGTAGTGCTAATCAGCAGAATTTGATGTGCAGAATTGTCTCCCTTGAACACACCAGGATCCTTGGTCTCTCAGGACAAAACACATGGTCATGATAAAAGTCCTGCTTTACTTTAGGATTTTCTCCTCCATGAATTGAAACTAAGAAATTTTTATGTTAAGGCTGAAATATATTTGATGAAAATCTTCACAGAGAGAGGTTTGGGATCAAACTAAAATGTGAGCTTTTGATGAGAATATGTATCATCGTTCTGTATTTGTGTCTCCCCGGTGAAGATTGAGGTTAAATTGAACTTAACTGGACCCATTCCTTTTCTCTATGAAGATCAGGGCTAGATTGGTCTTCAACAACCCATGCTTGGCCACCATGAAGATCATGTTAGAACTGATCGTCAAAAAACATGAAAGTTATACAGGGTGATCGGTTGTTCTGGCTTGCTAATTCGGTGGGATTATTTACAGATCGCCGCCATATAAATGGAAAATTGCTGAGTGCAGCGTTAAACAACAGACAAACCAAACCAAACAACATCTGGAATGGTGTTCTGTTTGGCATTAGCCTTATTAAGCAACAAACAAACAAATTAGTTCCTGTTTGTAGAGAGTCTCATGGGGATGACCCACCTTCGTGACGTCTTCGTGCTGCTTCTGAGGCAGCACCGCTGCCCAAACCAGGGCGTTGTCTACCTCCGCAACCTCATCTGCGCCAACCACCACCTCCTCCTCATCCTGGAGCAGTGGGGCGCAGACAAGACTATGGCAGGCGACTTTTCAATGTTGGAGCATGTCAAAAAGTAAGAATTTTATGAGCAGAGTTATTTCCCTTGAGCATGTCAGGATCTGATATTCATGGCAATGACTTGTCCACATGTGAGGCTGCGACATAATGTGTCTCATGAGTGTATGCTTGCGATAAGATTCATATCCAGATGCAGTAAATATATTTCATAAGTTCATCATGTCAAACCTTTTCACAGCTGAATCACAGCGTTGATTCAATTCAATAAAAGTGTTTGTTTTTGTGCAACAATGAAATTTATGAATTCTTATCATTTTGTAGGTTTGCCACTCTTGAGATTATGGCGAAGTACGGCCAAGCCTTAGAGAACTTTGGGCAGAACGAAAATGGGCTGAATGAATGCATCCTCACTATGATGCATCACATAGCGGGCGATTGCAACGAACCACAGTGTCTGATGCAGCTGTCCATTATGAGAACGTTCTCCAACATGTTGGAACAAAAACATCTCCTGTCATCAGTAAGTATACACTGATAAGACGTAACAATGTAACTTGAATTTGTGTAAAAAACGCCACATGTTCTTTAATTCCTTAAGGGGGCGGTGGGGTAGTCTTATGGTTAAAGCATCAGCTCGTCACTCTGAAGACCCGGGTTCGATTCCCCACATGGATAATATATAATATAATAAATGCATATTCCACACCCTAAGGCATGCTGAAAGTGCTACAGAACATTTACTCTGGAGTATACAGTTGTAAATAAGTAATATGCTGAGAAAAGTTGGGTTTTAAGTCTGGACTTAAAAATGTGAATTGTGTCAGAGCTTTTAATGGCACAAGGGAGAGAGTTCCAAAACACAGGGTAAAATGTGGGAAACCCATTTCTTGTGTTCCCCACCATCATATTGCCGGAATATTGCTGAAACCAGCATAAAACCATACTCACTCAGTAAGTGTGTTGATCAGGTCACGCGAGATGCAAGGAATTATACTGGCTTCATCAGTTTTCCAGTTTAACACAAACACGCTAAATCTTTAGACAGTGAAAATTTGAGCCGCAATCAAACAATCTTGTAGATTGAGTGAGTGAGTGTAGTTTTACGCCGCTTTTAGCAATGTTCCAGAAATATCACGGCGGGGGCACACCACAAATGAGCTTCGCACATTGTACCCATGTCGGGAATCGAACCCAGGTCTTTGGCGTGACGAGCGAACGCTTTAACCACTAGGCTACCCCACCGCCCACAATCCTGTAGATGAAATATACTGAGGGAAAAAATAAGGGATCACATGAAAGCACAAGTGTTCATTTTTTTGTTTCCAGGTTTCTTCACAAGCTATGCAATACAACGCTTGTGAAGAAACCTGGAAAAAAATATAGGAACACTTGTGCTTTCATGATCCCTTATTATTCCCTCAGTATATGTTCAGCTGGTTTTGCCCCTGAATATATTCCATCACTCAACCTCCATATTGACATTGAACATCATTGTTGACAATGACATAACTTGTTATGACAACAATGATGTTTAATTTTTACTTTTCGCTGACCTTGACCTTGACCTTGATGAAATGTGTAACCACATGTTAGAACACTCTCCTACCCAGAGTTCCATGCGGCAAGCCAGCATAGTACCTCTGCCATAGGCAAGAAAAATGTGACGATTCCTCACATCTGGCAATGTCCATTCAATATAATGTACAGATTTCTTTTACTCTTTTATTTGTGACGAGTCTACACATCTAACTAAACATCTTTAATAGAATGGTTTAGTTTCACTGAGAAAATATCCAAAAACATGTAACACTATTTCGATTTGCGTAGCGATCCTTTGTTTACATAGGTTGTACGGCTCCACGTGCAGTCATCGAAACCGACGGAGAGCAAACGATGCAGCAAGTTTGATATCTAAATATGTACTGTCATAGACCTAACTGTCGCAGTTGTTGAAGAATATATATGTAACAATGTAAAACATTATGAAGGGAGCGCCGAAAAGCTTTCGTGAGTCCAGTCTCTTCTTATAATGAATATGCGCATTTGATAACAAACAAGAGAAAAGTCCGGTCACGTGATATGCAAATTATCCTTTGGCAGTGATGTTATGTTAAGTCATCGCTGTGCCGGAGTGTGATGTTAGAAGAGAAGGGGAAATGTGTTGTTTACAAGGTTCAGTTGACAGTAAGAAATGTTGTTCCTTTAACATACTGAACACCTTTTGTTTGAATTATTGAACAAACTTGAGTGTATGAACTTGGATTGTAGCCAAGGTCTCAACTTGCATCAGTTTGCTTATCCATTGATTTCATGAATTGTACTAGCTGGAGCATTCTTTACTGCAGTGTTAAATAACTCTCACTCTCACATTGCAGGATTTCAGCGATCTCATCGAGTATGTGTTGGAGCAGTTCATGATCTTCGCTGAAGAAAAGCCTATGGCAACAGCTCAGATGCTCTTCGGTATTCAAGGAAAAGAGTGAGTAATAAAACAAGAAATATTTTTTAGTGGAAGCAATGACTTGCGATGGTGTAGCAGGGCTGTTTTTTAGGGAAATATTACTCTCAACTCTTGAATGCAGCCATGTTTATGAATACAAGTGTTTGTGTTATATTGTTTTACGTTGGTCATTTGAATCCTAGATGAGGAGATGTGAGATGTCTAGTATGCAAGGTCCTATCACTAGTAGTGGTACTTCTTGCTAGTAGTACGTCTCGTTAAAAAGAGAAATCTCAATCGAATACAGTTACTGGCAATATATGATGAGTGGCTACACGAATTTGATGGGTTGCGTCATGAAGACATACTTGCAATAACTTGACTGTTAAAATTACAAATGACCTGTATTTGAAAAGCTGGCCGGTCACAATGTCCAGCTGTAAAAATGCCAGCGGAAACACTGATTTAATTGCTGCACAGGAAGGTGCGGATTTATGTGGCGGTGAATTGGGATGTCTCAAATAAGGTTCTTTTCTTGGAAAAAGGTCAGTGAAAGAAACGGGTGTGTGGTCATCACAGGAGGAGGAAGTGCTTATGTCGAGTATTCTCAGCCTCACGGAGAGCGACAACATCATCGCGGATCTCAGAGATGCTTTACTTCATTCCGGCTTTAAACGAACAGAGGATGAGGTGAGTTTCTTAGTCACACTGTCCGACCCAGAGTTCCCCCTTGCCGGTATTGTAGCTGCCATTTGACGATTGTTTACATCCTCCTCATTGCATACAGTTTTATTTTTTATGAGTCTCTATATCTAGATAAACATATGTGATACAATGTTTAACTTTCATCAAGAAATTATGAAAAAACATTTCCATTTGCGAAGTTATCCTTCATTTACATTGGGGGGCAGTGGGGCCTAGTGGTTAAGGCGTTGGCTCTTCACGCCGAAAATCCGGGTTTGAATACCCACATGGGCACAATGTGCATGTGTGAAGCCCATTTCTGGTGTTCCCCGTTGTGATGTTGCTGGAATATTGCTTGAATATTGTGGCGTAAAACTAAACTCACTCACTCACTTACATTCAAAACATATTCAAAAACAAGCAAAATATTTTTCATTTGTGTCGTTATCCTCCGTTCACATTGGTTGTACGTACGGCTTCATGTGCTATCGTGAATTCAATTCACTTTATTCGAAATCACGAGAATCAAATTTTCATGAATTTGTTAAAAAGTAGTGTTCTTACTTACATTTGGGTTGTTATTTATCCAAGTGAGATAAACAAAATGGAATATGTCCAACCGTGGCTGGAAAATAGCCAATCAGTTTGTCAGTAAAGTGGTCACTCCTAATTGTCGTGACAAATTAACATTAACACTGCCATGAAGTGGTGTTCCCTTATTTGTTTCCTTCAGTATATTAATGCGTTATGTTATTATTTAACTGTATATGATGAATAATATATCAACTGCTGTTTGTATTACCCAATATTTATATCCATTCCTCAATTGTTCAAGTTAATGCTAATGGTATTAATCACTTTTGTTGGGTACTGAGAAAGTGTAATCCCAAATATAACGTGTTACATTTGACCACTTTCTAAATGGCATTGTGTATTTATAGCTTTTGGCCATCAGAGCCGTGGCAATTCACACTCATCACAGGGATACACAAAGTATGTGGTCTAGACTACCAGTTGTCTGACTTCCATTACCGAACAAAAGTCCTAGAATCGGGTAGGGCTGAAACGGTATACCACGGTATTAGTAGAACCGCTGTATTTTGCCTCCGGTTCACTATACCGTAATGCAATCCCAAAATTCGGTATTTTTGGTTTTCGTACCGTTCTTCTATCTACTCATAAAATGACAATTTTGTTCATTCAAAATAACAAAGATTATGGTTATTTTTTGTCCATGTTATCAAACAATGTAAGGTTTGGCTTTTATTGTCAATTTTCTGCATTATGATCATACCTCATATACCGAACCGTAACGACCGAACCGTAACGGACCAAACTGTAACGGACCGAACCGGAGGGCTTATACCGCAATATGTACCGTACCGTGGTAAGAGCGTACCGTTTCACCCCTAGAATCTGTACTTTACTGAGAAAGTGTAATCCCAAATATAGCATGTGTTACATGAGTGTGCTTGGTGCAGATCGAACAGTTCATCAAAGACAGTGGCTGGTTGGTAGAAGACTCAATGATGGACACCATGGCCCCTTTGGGTAAAGAGGTAAGCAAACATTCTTTAGAGAGTTTGCATATACAGTGCAATTTGTCAAAACCGGCAGTTGTCGAAACGGCATAAAATCTCAGTCCCTTCGTGGCTAGTACATTTATCATCATTGAAAAGCTCCGCAATCTGTCAATTCCGGATCTCGGCATGAAATGAGCCACCTGAATATGTGTTTCTGCAGTAATCAGCGCTGTCTAATCCAGCACGTGGTGAGGAGTCAGCCAGATGTGAATTATCACCAGTTAATCCTGCATTAAAGTAACACCTGAAAAAAAAATCACCCTCAATCATCAGTTGAGAAGAAACAAACCAAAATATCTGATTTTTTTTCAAATGTGTTGATTTATCATGTTTATGTTATTAAGTGAACAAAATGAATAAAAGTGAATATGAGCTAAGTCCTAGCCGTAGGTAACCGCATCAGCTCTACAATCTGGCATGCTGTCTAAACTGAATTATTACTTCAGTCCGGACGAATGCCGGTGTAGACAGCTTCTACTGTAGTAGCTGGAACACTATGATGGGGTAGCCTTCTGGTTAATGTGTTTGCTTGTCAGGCTGAAGGTTCAGGTTTGATTCCCAACATTCATGTAATCCGGATGTTGGGGTTTTCCTTTTCCTTATTATTGCAGCACGTCCTCATATGAGCGAAATATTCTCAAATACCACGTTAAACCCCATTTTACCTCACCTAGATGTGGAAAATGCTCTAATCATGTGTGATATAGAAGCAATCAGATTGACTGTGTATGACAGAGTTTTGATTGTGTTGCAGAACACGCTGGAGGAAGACGAAAAGATGAAGATCATTGATGAACTGTCCCAGGTACCGGAAGAAGATCTCATTGATCACCTCGTCTTACGACTGAAGAGCAGTGGCCATGAGCAACACATCACATGGCTGCAAGAAAACCTTTTTGAGGCTGCCAATGCCCAAAATTGTAAGTTTCGCATGCCGATTTCCAACACTCTAGTATGTCCAACTACAACCCATGTAGATGCAAGTGTTACTAAGTCTGGTATGACCGAGTTAAGGATGATCGGTGTTGGCCCAAATGTTAATGTTACAAACACATGGGCTCCGTCATTATGTGCTGTCTGATCTCGTGGGCTACATGCCCACAATGTCCTGTAAGGAGCAAGAATCTACAGTGCTGGCAATCAAGTGTTTGAGGAACTCAAGCATTGATCTTGATCTGCATAATCCCAGTAAAGGGCTTAAATCACATGTGGTGTTTCAAGCAAGTGACAAGGTGCAGCTCTCATGCAAGAAGGTAAACACTCGGCTTGTGCCAGTAGATCCATCTCAGGCCCTGAATGTGGTTTTGCTGAAGTTGAGGAGTGATCAGCCAGTGTTCTGTTTGGAGAAATTTGCCCGATTCACTCACACCACAAGCCACTCGAGAAGGTCTCTGCATAAATCTACAGAACATCTGCAGTTTGATGTTACAGATAGTTCAGTACAACATGAAGACCAGGGACTGAACTCTGTGAGAAAGGCTCATTATCAATTGTCAATGAATCTGAGAATTAGCCCAAGCATGTTGAGAAGTTACAGAAGAGAGCAAAGGATGAAGTCACTGATACTTGATCATCTAACAAGATAGCTGGGGAAAAAAAGACACACCAACTTCTCACCCCAAATGTCACCACAGCGACATTCGCCTCATCTCGGGAGAGAAAGCCTGCTGAGAAGAGCTGGAGAATGTGTGTGTTGGTCTCGAATGTGTGATCAGAAGATTGCAGGATCCTGTGATGCTGTCAAGACATCATGTAGAGGTCAACAAATAGAGTCATCTTACCTGTTGAAGAAAAATACCGTTAGAGTTGGTCTGTTCACCTGAGATGATCAAGAATATCAAGCTCACCCTAGGTGGCGTCAGCTGATTCTGGAAAGATGATCATCTGAACATTACTACTTCTTGTGCTGGTATCAAAGCTCTGAAGAACCATTTTTACACATATGGAATCCAAAGCAAGCTTGTGTCTGACAACTGTCCTCTGAAGAGTTTCCAAGTTTTACCAGAAAGTGGGACAGTGAGCACAATACGTTTTCGCCAAAACAAGTCAACGATTATGGGAAAGCTAAAGCAGGATCCAAAGCAGCAAAGTCTATAAAGACAAATGAAGACGTCCAAGATGGACTCCAATCTTTGTCTTCTTGAAATCAGAAGGTACTGGAAGTAGCCCTGTGCAACGTCTGCTCAACAGAAGGACAAGATCAGTCTTGCCTACAACAGACCTACTTCTTCCAAGAAGTACAGAGGACCTCAAGGAAGTATTTGTTCACAGATGAAATGTCAGGAAAAGTAGTTCTGTCTACAACAGATGCGCCAAAGACTTGCCTTATGGATGTTGAGACACTATACGTGTGAAGCTGTACATGCTAAGATAGAAAGTAGAAAACAATTTGGTGGCAAACAGTTCTATCTATGGCAGAAGTGCCAGGGACTTGCCTTATGGATGTTGAGACATTGTACGTCTGAAGCTGTACGTACTAAGATGGAAAGTAGAAGAAGTTTTAGTGTCAAACAGTTCTGTCTATAGCAGAAGTGCCAGGGACTTGCCTTATGGATGTTGAGACACCATACGTGTGTGAAGCTGTACATACTAAGACAGAAAGTAGAAAAAGATTCGGTGGCAAACAGCTTGATCCAAGATCTTACAAAGTGAAATGTGAAGATGACATTTTTCAAAGACACTGAATACATCTGAGGAAGACTACCGAACATTGTTCAGTGAAAGAAACTTACTCTGATGTACCTATTGTGACACAAATGAAACCAGAGATTCTTTGTCTGAAATTGGGTCAACTCAGCAAGCACCTGGGAGATCAGCAATAATCAGCAAGACACAACTCATCCCAAGGACTTTATAGTCTGCAAGAAGTGATAGTTCTTGAACAACTGTACTTGTGACATTAACTGAAAATGAGACGTTTACCATAATTTTGAAGACATCAACTTTTGCATTATCTTCAGTTTTGTGCTGACCAGTTAATTCCTCCTGTTTAAGTATAATCTGACATTTGGTGGTGTTATTTCTATTAAATTAGTTCTATCATTGAGTTTTGCATAACAACTGACTAGATCTTTTGTCAGATGTTCTTCTTACCATTCAGTCAAGCAATTTGTTTTTCAGTGAAGCTTTAACAGCGATGATGTTTTCATTTGTAACAACTTCTTTGTAATGTAATAAAGACATTGTTCTAGATCTCTGTGTGTTCCCTCTTAAGGGCTTTAAACCCCGTAACACCTTATAACATGGTTGCAGCAACTCTGGAATACGACTTGCCATTCATTCAGCGTGTGAAAAGAATGATTTTAGAATGTCTCTCCCAAAGCTCATGAATTCAGTTCATGGATCCCTGTTGTTTGACGACAATGAGACCATGAATTTTGAAGTTGACTGTGGTTCAACAGTGAACGTCATCCCTCCAAAACGTGTCTTGTGATCTGCAAAGAAGCGCTAACCAGCTGAAGTGTACAAGTTTAGTTACCAAACCTAAAGGAAAGTGAAAGTCAAGCATAGCAGGTCCAGCTAATGATTGAAGTTTATGAGGCTAAATTTGAAGTTGTCAAAGAAGAAATGATCTGTCTCTTGGGCAGGCAGATAGCAGAACAGATCTCATAACTGTCCTAGTTACCGAATGATCACCATCGCCGCAGAGTGTCTGTCCTACCCAAGTTTGGTCAAGTGTTTGACAATTCACGCTACACACCCACATCATCTTGTAACCTTGAGCATGTACAAGTTGCGTGGATATGTAAATATCCTATAGTAAAAATAATAATAATAAAAAGCCTTTGAAATGTCTCGCTTGCACCCCAAGAACACTGTCGTCAGGCTCCCCATTGTTCTCGGTGCCCTTGGTTTGGTACCTCCTGATCTCTTGGTGCAGATCAGGAGAGTGCCCGGGTTCTCCACCGGGAGCACCGCCCTTCTGACACTCTGGATACTGCAGAAGGCTGCAATGTTGGGGAGTCAACATATTCTCCAGAAAGTTCTTGGTGGGTTCGACTAGGCAGCGCTTCCTGGGAGAAGTCCCATTCGCTGTCTGGGCTGCATTTAGAGGGGGCAAGAGCCCTGAGCTGATGATGAGCCTTACCAGCCTGACTGTGCCAGGATCACCCGAACCCTCTCTGCTGCGTTTTCATCTCAATCTGTAAAACATAATAATAATAACAACAACCTGGGCTGCAAGTCTCTTTTACATTGTCGAAGTAGCCTTTTGGTTAAAGCATGCTGAAAACCTAGGTTCGATTCCCAATATTGGTGCAATGTTTGAAGCCCATTTCCTGTGGCCGCATCTCTGGTATTGCTGGAATTTTGCTGAAAGGGGGCGCAAAAATGTACTCACCTACTATTGCTTGTCCCAAAAGACAACTAAATTTGTTTGGAGGTTACGCTTGGTGATTTGGTTGATTACAAGGGATGGAGCTCATACTATCAATCACTTGTTTGTGTATCAAACAGTCCCTTGTTTGAACGCCACTGTGACATGGGTGGAATTTTACTGACGGAAGTGTGTCACAACATGTACACTTTGACAACTTGATGTCTGGTGATTGGGTGCCTCAGTCAGAGGGTGTGGGTTCGAATCACAGATGGGATTTAACCCCTTAAGTACTAGAATCTGTACTTTACTGAAAAAGTGTAATCACAAAAATAGCGTGATATAAATAAACGTTCTAAATGGGATTGTGTATTCATAAACCAGTCATTTCTGATTGGACCCTTGAAGATCCGGGTTAGAATTGATCTTCAGTAACCCATGCTTGTCGTAAGAGGCACGGGTTGTCAGGCTCGCTGACCTTCTTGACAGATGTCATCGTATCCCAATTCCGTAGATCGATGCTCATGCTGTTGATCACTAGATTGTCTGGTCCAGGCTCGATTATTTACAGATCGCTGCCATATAGCTGTAATATTGCTGAGTGTGGCATAAAACTAAACTCACTCACTCACTTACTCATTGCTGATTGATGAGGCGTCCTTCAGTGATTTTTTTTAATTTTCAGGTGTAATGGCGAATACAATCGACTTAATACGGGAACCGGTCACTCGAATATGTGCATGTAAGTCATAGCATGTCAGCTCAATACACTTACAAACCCGAGAAGATCCAGGTTAGAATTGGTCTCGAGGAACCAATACTTGTGGCGACAAATGGGATCGGGTGGTCAGGCTCGCTGACTTGGTTGACACATGTCATCCTATCCCAGTTGCATAGATTGATGCTCATGACGTCAATCTCTGTATTGTAAAGCATTGAATATTAACAGACCGCTGCCATATAGTTGGAATACTGCTGAGTCAGGCTTTAAACAACAAACAGAACAAACACTCACAGCTTGCAACATATCCACTCATGAAGATTAGGTCAAAACTGACTCACGGCCTCACGGCTTGATACCAGGCTGGATACCTTTTGTCTTATCAAAAGTTGTTTATAGATGGCCCACATACAAATACATAGTTCCCAATACCTAGTTCCCACATACAAACACATAGTTCCTACATACACATGCCTAGTTCTCACATACACATGCCTAGTTCTCACATACACATGCCTAGTTCTCACATACACATGCCTAGTTCTCACATACAAATATATAGTTCCCATATACAAATACATAGTTCCCACATACAAATACATAGTTCCCATATACAAATACCTAGTTCCCATATACAAATACCTAGTTCCCATATACAAATACCTAGTTCCCACATACAAATACCTAGTTCCCATATACAAATACCTAGTTCCCACATACAAATACCTAGTTCCCACATACAAATACCTAGTTCCCATATACAAATACATAGTTCCCATATACAAATACAGTTCCCACATACATACACATAGTTCCCACATACATATACATAGTTCCCACATACATATACATAGTTCCCACATACAAAGACATAGTTCCCATATACAAATACCTAGTTCCCAGATACAAATACATAGTTCCCACATACAAATACCTAGTTCCCACATACATATACATAGTTCCCATATACAATTCATAGTTCCCATATACAAATACCTAGTTCCCATATACAAATACCTAGTTCCCACATACAAATACCTAGTTCCCACATACATATACATAGTTCCCATATACAAATATATACAAATACATAGTTCCCACATACAAATACCTAGTTCCCACATACAAATACATAGTTCCCACATACAAATACCTAGTTCCCATATACAAATACCTAGTTCCCACATACAAATACCTAGTTCCCACATACAAATACATAGTTCCCATATACAAATACCTAGTTCCCACATACAAATACATAGTTCCCACATACAAATACATAGTTCCCATATACAAATACCTAGTTCCCACATACAAATACCTAGTTCCCACATACAAATACCTAGTTCCCATATACAAATACATAGTTCCCACATACAAATACATAGTTCCCATATACAAATACATAGTTCCCACATACAAATACATAGTTCCCACATTCAAATATATAGTTCCCACATACAAATACATAGTTCCCACATACAAATACATAGTTCCCACATTCAAATATATAGTTCCCACATTCAAATATATAGTTCCCACATACAAATACATAGTTCTCACATTCAAATATATAGTTCCCACATACAAATATATAATTCCCACATACAAATGCATAGTTCAATGGTACAGTTTTGACACGTTGCCTATCACGAGTATACTCGTATCAATTCTGGCTGAATGTGCCACTATGAGTTATCTCATAGAGGCAAAATGGTATTTTGAAACACGTTTCACATGTTGGCAAAATAGGCACAAGAAACAAACGTCTCCTGGCGTTCTTTGTTACCGCCAGGAGACGATTGCTTCTTGTGCCTGTTTTGCCAACATGTGAAATTGTTCAAAAAATATTGATGTAGCTACGAGATAATTCGTAGTGGCAAATTGGGCCAGACATTGATACTACCAATATACACGTGGTGGCAGTCAACGTGTCAACTATTCTTGAAGGACTTGCTGTTACCAAGAGTTGATTAATTATTGTGCATTGTGCATCTGGGGATTTGTCGTCATTTGGTGACCAGTGTCTTTTGTATTTCAGTCAGGAAGAAGGATATTCCACTCATCTTTGTGACAGAGGAACACGAAAAAATATGTCATAATGTGTACTTCTTCGCCTTACTAAACACTCTGGATCTGAAGGTCGGATCAAGTAATGAACAATTTGTTTTCCCGAGAGTGCCGTCTGATTGGTCAGCGTCAGACATTATTCAAAAGATGAAGATGCTCGGTCCACTACCTAATGGTTAGTATTCTCATTATCGACCTGAGATGCAAAAAAAAAAAAAGGAAAGAAAGAAATATCAACCGTTTTTATTGATGCTTTATATCCCTTGCAACATGTTTTGTGGTGGTTATCATTTTGGACACCGTCCGTGTAAATTCGTCTTTTCTCGGGCAGAACATAAAAAACATTCAATATTTCTTCACCAAACTGTGCACATAGATAGGTGTGGCAGTGAATTGGCACCTTTTGGTAGTTTTGGATTTCTGAATAAAATATTTTTTTGCGTTTCAATGGCAGCAACTTCGTATTCGAATGAAATTGGTGGTAGTGCTCTTTCCCGGGGCAGAACTTTAAAACTGTTCAATGTTTCTTCACCCACCATACTTGGCACATAGATAGATAGGTGGTGACCTGGTGCCTTTTGGTAGTTTTGGATTTCTGAATCAAATATGTTTAGTATTTCCATGGCAACAAGTTTGATTTCCAGTATCAACATTACTGAGGTACATCAAACCGTGGAAGCAAGCATGCTAGCATATGAATAGTTTACATATATATATATGTTTTCGTTAGATAAATGTGATGAACAATGTAACATTTGACATAGTCATGTATTTTACCAAGAAACATAATGATTATGATTAAATATTTTCATTAGTTAAATGGTACTAATTAATAGAATTTTATTAAATTTAGATAAATATATTTAAGGCCGAATTTCTCTCAGATGCTTGCCGCCCACCCATAAAACACAAAGGCCAATTACTAGCCAATTTTAGTGCTGAGAAGACATGAAGGAATTCCCCGAAGTATAATGAGTTAGCTGAAATCCAAAAATTAAATAATTTGCCTTTTTTTTTTAAAGAACATAGCGAAGTGGATCGGGTGGAAGAACTAGCAGTCCGGTTGTCCCAGGCAACGACTACTGAGCGAGAATTCCCAGAGTTTGAACCCAAACAGTCAAGGTACAATATTTTCCTCATCAAGTCGTTGTGTCATTTTGATTGTCTTTTTTCTGCATAACTTTTTTACTTTATTGTCTTTAATTTTCTGCATAACTTTTTTACTTGTAGTTTAGTATGCTTACATAAGTATTGAAAGTTTCAAAGTGACTCTGTTTCAATAAGTGACCAAATCGTCTAAGGTGCTGTAATTCAGTGTGCTGAGTTCCATCCCTTCAGAATGTCTAAAATCTTCGATCATGGGTTTGAATCCTGGCCTGTTGCATGTTTCTTGGTTTGTTGGCTCCACTTACCAGCCTGATTGTGCCAGGATCACCCGAACCCTCTCTGCTGCATGTTTCATCTTAATCTGTAAAACATAATAAGAATAAGAATAAGAGTATTTCACCACACAAGGGCAATGCTCAAAGGGCTGACAATGACAATCTGATTATTATTACCCCGGATAACCTAAGTTGCTAGAAGGTTAATAGTCACATGACTTATCCCACCGGGTACCCATTATCTGCTGGGTGAATAATGCCTGTGGGTTGGACATTGTTGTCAACATTTCAAGACCTGTGTCTCTTTGGGTTATCCTACCACCGGGTACCCATTATCTGCTGGGTGAATAATGCCTGTGGTTTGGACATTGTTGTCAACATTCAAGACCTGCGTCTCTTTGGGCTATCCTACTACTTTATGATGACATGCTGTGATTTAGCTGGAGTTGAGTTCAAAGTGAGGCGGTGGGGTAGCCTAGTGGTTAATGCATTCGCTTGTCGCCGAAGACCGGGTTCGAATCCCCACATGGGTAAAATTTGTGAAACCCATTTCTGGTGTCCCCCGTCGTGATGTTGCTGGAATATTGCTAAAAGTGGCGTAAAACCAAATTCAGTCAGTCAAAGACCCGGGTTCGATTCCCTAATTGGATACATACAATGTGTGAAGCCCATTTCTGGAGTCCCTGCCGTGATATTGCTAGAATGTTGCTAAAAGCTGCGTAATACTAAACTGACTGCCTGACTCACTCTGTTGAAAGTGGCATTGAACCCATCTTACTCACTCACTCTATGTCATCCAGCTGGGTGGTATATCTCAAAACAACATTCACACAATCACGATCCATTCACGCGGTGTACGTGAATACCTTGGATGAAAACAGTTATGCATTGTTTTCGATGTTCGTTGTCCACACTTTCGGCAATGTTCCAGCTACATTGCGGTGGTCTGTAAATGATCTCATCTGGACCAGACAGTCCAGTGATTGACATCATGAACATCAAGTAAAGCAATATTGATAGTGTACATTGCATCAACCAGGCCAGCGAACCTGACCACCAAATCCCGTTGCTGCCGACCTCTTCTGGATCTGTCCACTTACTCTTGGACTAGACATGGATGGTTGGTTGGTTGTGTAAAGCCACACTCAGCAATATTCCAGTTATATGGCCGCGGTCTGTAAATAATCCCGTGATCAACACAAGCATCAATGTATGCAATTTGGATACGATGACATGTGTCAACCAAGTCAGCGAGCCTGACCACCTGATCCTGTTAGTCGCCTCTTATGACAAGCATGGGTTACTGAAGACCAATTCTAACCTGGATCTTCACGGGGCCTGGACTAGGCATGGCATGACATGACATGATTCAGCATAAAGCAGCAATAGATCTTTAGTAAGTTCGTGAAAGGAACCAGGCACTAAGTACTATCAACAGCCTACTTCAATATACCATCATACCCACAATGAACTTGGTAAACAATACTTATGTTAGCCATAGGTTTGAATAACAAGCTACTAACCATTCACAGGCCATGAACTAAGCTTTCACTAACAAACAACTGTCCTAACTCATACAATAGCTCATCATAAATTTTTATACTGATTCTTGTGTTTATTTCAGAATAAATATAATAATTCAGGTACTAAATTTTGTTCCACCCCGTAACCTTGCTTAAAACAGATAAATGGTCTCAGTGTGCTTTTTTCTGCTTAGAGAGAAAAACTTGCTTTCTATTCTTTGCTACCTAAAAGTCCTAAAGCTGAACAGATTTAAATATGTATGTATTATCTGCTTTAATGGACATACCCTGCTTGGTCTGTACTAGGGGATCTGGGGCCTTGATGGCAGCGTGTGAGATGAAGGGAGAAGAGAGATAGCGACATGTGAGAATGGAGGTAGTGAGAATGCAGGTAGCAACATGTGAGAAAGGAGATAGCAACATGTGAGAATGGAGGTAGCAACATGTGAGAATGGAGGTAGCAACATGTGAGAATGGAGGTAGCAGCATGTGAGAATGGAGGTAGCAGCATGTGAGAGTGAGAATGGAGGTAGCAACGAGTGAGAATGGAGGTAGCAACATGTGAGAATGGAGGTAGCAACATGTGAGAATGGAGGTAGCAGCATGTGAGAATGGAGATAGCAACATGTGAGAATGGAGATAGCAGCATGTGAGAATGGAGATAGCAGCATGTGAGAATGGAGATAGCAGCATGTGAGAATAGAGGTAGCAACATGTGAGAGGGGAAGTAGCAGCACGTGAGAGGGGAAGTAGCAGCACGTGAGAGGGGAAGTGGCATGTGTGTCTTTTGTATTCATATAGACACACACAGGAATGGGAAGTTTTTCACCCCTTCATATTAACATTTCTACCTTCTGAAGCCACGAGGTCTCCCAATGTTCTTACCGGATCAAATAACTTGCTGTTCCCAAGCTTATCATGTCGTCGCTATGTCAATAGTCAAACGCTTGCAACTGAGTGCTCTCATTGCCAATGTTTGAACATATTTTTGTTTTTGTTGTGTGACATTCTTTGTTTATACAGTCTTCCCTGACTATAACACCAATATTTGTTCAGGACGATTTAGGTGTTATGACTGACATAGGCTAAAAACACAAGGAAATGTTGAGACCAAGTCATACATAAATACATGTCCATTTAAACACATCAGTGTAGTGTAGGAAGATCTAAGCTCATTTAACAACTATGTACACATATAACAGAATATAATATAACATTTATTTACTTAACAATAAAAAATACTTCACATGCGTTACTTTTCATATAGAACAACGTGTTGCTGGTGGATAAATCTGGTTTATGGAAATACAGAGCATACATGGAACAGGATTAGGCATTAAGGTAGCGCAGCCTCCATAGTCAGCAGTAGCACAATAGGGTCAAATCTTGATTTCACAGGGACTTGTCATCTACATACATACAAACTAACATTTGTATAGCACCAATATCCAGCTTAGCTGCTCAAAGGCGCTTTGTTTTTCCCTCGATCACTGGATGTCGATCTCAACGGCACGTCGTATTATCAATCTCAACTCCCTGGGGATCATACAACTCTTGCAGCCACTAGGCGCACCGAGTTAGTGTGGCTTTCCCATCCTTACAAGGTACCCAATGACAGCTGGGTGGACTGGGGCACATAGTTACAGTACTTTGTCCAAGTTTACTGCACGTTGCTGTACCCGCAACTAGGTGTTGGCACGTATTCATGTGGCCACCGTCTGGTCATATACTAACGGATTCGTGGGTTCTTTAAAGTGCACAGGGTTGTGTACTGTACACTAGGGGTTGTGACAACACTGAAAGAGTCTGCTAACATAGTTGACTCCAAGGTTTTTACACCCGGTCACAGGTGGGCTCGATCCCATCACCTCAAGCTCGCTGGATCACTAGCCTGGTGCTTTAGCCAGTTCGCCCACCACGCCCCACATCTGTATAGGAGCTTGTTCAGTACCACGTTTGTCCCTCTCTCCCTTTACAACAGCACGCCAACTATATTCGATAATCCAGACTATAGTCTGTTTGCAGTGAAAAAGTACCGATGAATATCACTTTAAACAAAAAAGTAAATCGAATAAAATTAAATTAAGATTGCGAATCCTCATTAATTTACCTTGCCAATTAACTTTTAAATTTCAGAAGCTTATTCAACTGAGGATAAAAGTTGTTTAACAAATGAACATTGTTTTAAATCGCTATTATTGGTTTCTGTTACAAGGGGTATTTTGCAGTAGTTGGAACAGTGAAACAAATGCACGTGCGCTGCGTGATGAGCGTTAAATTAGACTACCGTAGAAACCAAACCTTCTTGTTCTCTGGGTTCCATTTAATGTGCATACCCCCTTGTAATACAAACCAATAATAGCGATTCCCCTCTCTCTCTCACTTATCTAAATTCCTCTCTCTTTTCCCTTCTCTCTCTCGTCTTCCCTTCTCTCTCTTGTCTCGACACCATTTAGCTGGAATATTGCTGAGTGCGGCGTAAAACTGAACTCACTCTTGTCTTGCTCTTCTCTTTTCTCTCTTATTTCATATGGGTACGTTTGAATGTTTCAAATAACATAACGTCTTTCTTCTTTTTTCCGCAGTTCTGTGAAAGAGATGAAACTTCCGGAGAAAGAATGGATGTCATGTGTTCAGGAAGCCAATAAGTTCCAAGAATCTCAGCACCTGCAGTTAACCATGGAAACGAACTGATGCTTTTGAACATTGAGAGAGGAAGTCTTGTGAGAATCATTGAAATCATTATCTCACCACACCATGGAACTCTTTCATGGATCCAGACATATATTTATTGGTATTCATTATGAGAATGGTCACAATACAGACGTACTGTCTGACAGTAATATAAATCATTTTTGGAGAAAATGGCATTAATGCAAAACAAAATATCATTTTTGTTGAACCAGACACACTTATTTATTTGTTTTCTGTTGAGTCTGGAGGCCAGATATGAACAAACTTAGTCAGGGTTTATTCTTGACCTTTGAAGTTATAGTTTTAAAAAGAATTTGAAAATTAATATAATTAAAAGATAAAGTACACCTAGTCTTGCCAGGGCTCATCTTTACATGAACATGTATAGATATTGTGTTCAAGAGTAAGTTATGGAAATATTGTAATAAGGAATTAATATCTACTTTGGAGTTGTCTCCCTTGCATCACATCCGATTTGGGAGTTATCTCCCTTATGATCTTGCTGTTATGGCTGAGTATTTCATGTGAGAAAATGTGGATTTTGTATGTTGTCTCATCTGGAGACTCTGACTGTTTTGTATGTTGCTGTTCCCAGACTGTTTGCACATTGCATTTATAACTTGAGATTCATCACTGGATGAGGGTAATAAATGTACTGACGAGAAAATGACAGCATTATCGCAAGATCATCATGAAAGATCTAACTAGGCGGACAATTGTTCCTTGGGGAGTGTCCTCCCAAAATTAATGGTGGTACATTTTGGATATCTTAACTAACCTGCTTTGATACTTAATGACCTGAAGATAAAACGGGTTATGATTAACTTATGAAAGGGATCTTTTGATCCACAGGAAATACTAAATTCTGAATTTGTGGGAATTATTTGTATGGCAACTATCAACAACTTGACAGTTTTTGTTCTAGAACTTTTGGAATTCTGGGCCCTGTTCCATGAAGAGATCATAGTTCTTAGACCATGCTAGAATATGAACATTATTAAGATCTTGTTACTATGGTTACTTCAGGGAACAGGGCACTGAAGTAGTGAATTGAATTGAGTGAGGAAATCCTGATTTTAAAATACAGCAATGACCCAAATGCAAAATCAGCCTTTGTTTCTCCTCATAAACATTATTTTGGGTCAAAGCGTTGCTCCTAGTAATTTAATCACAGATTTTTGACATTATCTATGCACTTAAAGATCTTCGAAAAGAATTCCAAAATTTAAACAATTTTTTTTTTTAATTTGCCAGCATTGTAATTTGTTTTAGATAGTTAAAAAATTCCTGGTACTCAAATTGCCAAGAAACTGGTATGGTCAAGAGCCTTTAAATATGGTTATGCCGCCTTGTCTATGTCATTTCATTGGAATGTTTGCTGGTGAAACAGCCTTCCCTAAGTCAGGAAGACGTTACATATTTGCATTTAACACTCATTTGTTTATGATTATATCTCTGTGAACATAATTGTATCCTGTCTGTTTCTGGTGGTTTTGATTTTTTTTTCAAGAATTCTTTATCCGAGTTTAGAGCCTTATTAAGTCAGTTACCATGGAAACTGTCCAACTTTGGTAGCTTCGCTAATCATTAACTATGAAAGGATATTGAGTTAAATATGAAGTATGGTACTGTATGTACAGCGTTGTTGTCATATACTGGGTAGAGTTATGTCCCTTGTTAGTGCCAGGATCCTCAGATTGTTGGTTCAAGTCTCAAATTGATCCTGATTGTGATGTTTAGTATGTTAGCAATACATGGTGATTTCTCACAAAAACGGTAAATAGGCGGTACTATGTCTTGACCTTCTGATGCAGACTTGTGATTCAGCTAATGTTCATCATCGGTCGGGGGTGGTGGGTAGCCCAGTGGTTAAAGTGTTCGCTCGTCACGCCGAAGACCCGGGTTTGATTCCTCACATGGGTACAATGTGTGAATCCCATTTCTGGTGTCCCCGCCACGATGTTGCTGGAATATTGCTTAAAGTGGCGTAAAACCATATTCACTCACTCATCCTTAGTCGTCCAGTATCTCCATTCAAACTGACCCCCTGGATCCAACGCTAGATTCCTATAAAGGCTGGTGCTTTCATGACAACCATGACTTGCCTTTCGAGGCACTTCTCTAAAACTAGATGGCCAGTTCAGTTGTACTGTGCTTTCATTATTTGATAGGGCGATGGGGTAGTCTAGTGGTTAAAGCGTTTGCTTGTCACGCTGAAGACCCGGGTTCAATTCCCCACATGGATACAATGTGGGAAGCCCATTTCTGGTGTCCCCATCGTGATATTGTGAAGATATTGCTAAAAGCGGTGTAAAACTGAACTCACTCACTCATGATTTAACCAAGATTTGTTTAAAGCTCATGAGTGACACAAATTCTGTGCAGTGTGATAAGGTGACATCACTTCTGGTATGAAATGGCGGTGGCGCCGCGGACCCGGGTTCGATTCCCCACATTTGTACAATGTGTGAAGCCCATTTCTGGTGTCCCCAGCCGTGATATTGCTGGAATGTCACTCAGTCTGACAGGTCAGACGGTCAATTGGTCTAGGGTGCTGGTCATAGCAGAATGGAGATAACTGGATACTCGTCAGCAAGGTCTTTCTGATTTGTGAATGGTGGTCAGCTGGAATGGTCATTGATTCAGTTCTGGCAGTTCCGATGATTGCTACAAGGTGGTGTGGTCACTTTTCAATGAAAGTATTGACCAGGGAACAATTTGTCAGACTTCTAACAACATATCTGCAGGTTGCGTTGTAAAACTTTGCATCTCTTTCTGTAGATTTTGCATCTTTGGTGCAATTACGAACAACTTTCAGACCTTATTACGTTGAAAGTAAAAAATCAAGTTCTTACTGCAACCGACCTTTTAAATATGATTTGACATTTGAATTTTAAAATGTCTATTTTATTTCTTTTTTCAAAAATTCTAAATGTGCCTGTTTCTCCTTGCCAAATGTTTTGAGGTCATATGTTTAAAAGTGATTAGCTGTTGATGGATAGGGTTCCTTGTTTATTGGTTTATTGTTTTTGCCGCAATCAGCAATATCCAAGCTATTTTCGTCGGCATGTGAATAATGGGTAATCAAGCCAAGACCAGTCAGTCTTGTGCTTTATATCATAATCATCGTTTTACATCATTCTGACAGAATGATTTGTGTCGACCAAGTCAGCGAGCCTGACAACCCGTTAGTCGCCTCTTACGACAAACGACATCATTGTTGATGAAGATTAATTCTGTCCCTGACATGAACCGTTCTAGGAATCATGTATATCCCAAGCACAATCCTAGCAGATACAAGAGGTATCAACAGCAAAACCGATACAGCTGACCTTGAGTGTATTTGTTGAAAATAACACTTGCAAACGTTTTGAATAATTGAAAATAAGAATGATTAACAGTTCTTGGAGTGTCGCTATGAATTTTCACTTTTTTTTAGAAACATTTTACTTTTTGTACAATTTTTGGATGAACTGTTTGTTTGCAATTGAAACAGTTTTTTTTGATAGTTTTGAAATCTATTTTTGGAACTTTGACCATTTTACCAGCAAGATCTTTGCTGTCATAGAAACAAGTGTTTGATTTTTCTATTGAATGATAGAATTTGAAAATGTTCTTGAAACAAGAGAAAATGTTTCGAGTGAAAAATAAGGAATTTTAGAAACGAGCAGGCGTCAATTGTCAGCTTATCTGGAACTGAAAACTTGCACTACACCAAGGAAGAAACATGCTGTTTCTTAATGGTGTTTGGATGTGCTTAAATGAAATATGTTGGTCCTCTTGTAAGAAAGTTGTTGGATTGTGATATTGCTGATTAACCAGCAGTTACTAAACCACCAAAACATAGTTGGTTTTGTGTTTATTAATTGTTTAACGCCGCACTCAGCAATATTCAAGTTATATGGTGGCAGTATGTAAATAATCGAGTCTGGACCAGACAATCCAGTGATCAACAGTATGAGCATCGATCTACGAAATTGGGATACAATGACATGTGTGAACCAAGTCAGCGAGCCTGACCGCCCAATCCTGTTAGTCGCCTCTTATGACAAGGATGGGTTACTGAAGATCAATTCTAACCCTGATCTTCACTGCTGTCACACGCAGTGTGCGAAATAGCCACTGGCCTGCTAGCCAATGACTAGTTAAAATCCGGTCGGGCCAGTAAATCTCCACAGTCACTGGCCCGACTGGCTAGTGAATTTTCATGGGGTCATTTTGTAAATATATCAATCTCCCCGACTTTTAAATCATGCAAAATTATGGTCTGATAAAATGTTCATCAATCATCATATTAGCAATTTAATGATGAAACCCGTGTCTACATTCGAATTTCGGGTTAGTGAATTATTGTGTGGGCTTGTAACTTTCAAGCATAGCTAGCCCGACTGGCTGGCAAAATTTGGAAACTATTTCGCACACTGGTCACACGTACAAGTCCACGGGACTATCTTCAACATTTTCAAACCTTCAGGGTAACGTATTAACAGGCGATGATGACACCTAGACAGTGTCGACTGAATGGCATAGCATACTGTATTGTCTGGTCCTCTTTCGTACAAGTTCAAACGTTTAATGTTCACCGAAATATTTATTTGCTTACGCTGTAAGTTGCTTTGATCTAACACATTCAATGTCACCGTCAAATTGTCAAATTTGTCTTTGTGATAAAAATCAGAATTTTGTTGGAACAAGTTTAGTGGTATAATTTTCTGTTCAAAATCTCAACTATTACACTAGGGTGATAATGGTTCGTGACTCTAGAGTTGTTTCAGTTTGTTTTTATCATGAATAAGAAACAAATGAAAGACAAAATTTTGTAGTGAAACCTGTTAGATTTGACAGCTTGGTCATCTTGCCCCTTTGTATAATCCTTGCTCTGGGGCATAATCCTTGTCCCGTCACATAATGCTTGCCCAGGCGCATAATCCTTTCTTATGGATTGATTATCTTGGAATATGTTTCTGTAAATGGGTCTTGCAGCCATGAGCTGGTTGACATTTCTTGAACAGACTTCAACAGTCTAATCTACGAAACATAATTCAGAGCTCTTTTGCAGAGTGAAATTAGTTTGCTATTGTGGCCAAGATCAGTGTTGTGAACGCCTCACTTGGTTTCAAAGTACTTTTAGAAGCATTGCATATTGTTTGTGTGTCTTCCTTGGCATTACTTGTTCCTTCCAAAAGGTGTTGATCAGCTGAACAAAGCAAGCGTTCAGTCACATTTATTGGTCATTATGTATCTGGTCTGTTTTGTAACATTGTAAGTTGGGCAATGATGTTTTTTTCATCCAGTTCATAAAAAGAGCAGGCTGGGCCAGTCCTGTCCTCATCAGCGCAATGATTTGCTGCTTGGAGTTATGTCCCTTAGTCGTGCTAGGATCTGATGAGCAGGTTTCATCCTGATTGTGACTCTGCACCACACCCGTGATTGTGGCTTCTCCAAACTTGCAGGTTTACGTCATGTTCCTAGTGCTCTCACACAGTCATTATGTAAAACCATGTTTTGCAGTGAAATCTTACTGCAAAGATGATTAAAACTTGTGTATAGACTTCCTATAATTGTAGCGCTAATGTCGTTTTGTATATCCCTTCATGAAAGTACAGGGTTTGTACAAGGTGATCTTAGTGCTAAGGTAACCCTATACCTTAATATGGACTTGGGACAGTTGAAGGGCTAAGATAACTTAGTAGTATGTCCCTTCCCTTCATGTTCATTTGCAGGGTTTGTTGTACAAAGCGATCTTAGTGCTAAGGTGATTGTAACTCCCATACCTTAACATAGAATTACAACTGTCTTAGCGCCAAGGTGATTGTAACTCTCATACCTTAATGTAGACTTTTAACTGTCTTAGCGCTAATGCTGTTTTGTACGAAGACACCATGGTTTATTCTGAGATCGGTTACTTTACCTTTCCTCTGTTTTTTACACATGCTCATGGCTTTCATCAATGTGGCATCTGCCCATGGCAATGCAGTTAACTGACTATAAACGACCAGATTCCAAGCTGGGCTGGAATTTTGTTGGTTGATCATGGTCCAAACATCTTTGGATATAAACTGGACTTTTGGAAGATGCTAAAAATGGTAAAAGTCTTATACCTGCATCACTTTGGGTATTCTTCTTGAATTAGGCACAGTGGGGTAGCCTAGTGGTCAAAGCGTTCGCTTGTCATGCAGAAGGCCCGAGTTCGATTCCCCACATGGGTGCAATGTGTGAGGCCCATTTCTGGTGTCCCCAGCCGTGATATAGCTGGAATATTGCTAAAAGCGGCGTAAAACTAAACTCACACACTCACTCTTGTATTAAGCTGACACGACGTTCTTGACAAAACCCAACTCTTCCACTCACTCACTCTGCTTTTTGCATGTGTCAAATAACAGTGAGTTTACTGGGTGAAAGTATTGATGTTTTATGCATGAGTACAGAAGTAACTTCCTTTTGTGCTTGGCTGAACATGTAATTGTGCCTCGTATATTTTTAAGCACCTGATGCAATTCCTGACATCAGTGCTATGTTTTCCATTATTTGTCATTTCACTGTATTTTGGGAGATGTTTTATCAAAATGCTGTCTGGTACAGATTTGATTTGATTTTTTTTTTTAAATTTCATTTCACTGAATTTTGCTCAAATACTCAAGTGTGAAGGAAAATTGAAATTAAAATATTTTTTATGTCTCCTTGAAATGTAACGATTTTCAGATGAATTTTCACAGGTTCTATTTGTAGTAGCTTGAATAATTTGCTGTGATTGATAGCAACAGTGAATGAGTTGGATTAAAAAACTACTATAAGTTTAAAGATATCAATATTTGACGAGTTGGCAGGTTCATAAGGCCGTTTGTAATAAGATATCTTCATTCAAATTATGCTGTAGATTAACCTTTTGTTTTACCCATTATTCTATACTCTTCAAAAAAAGTAGGGGAACCTGAACTTTCAATTTGGTTAGGAAGTATAAGCGTTAACAAACTTAAACTTTCCAAAGACAGACATCTTATGAACGCACCACCATTTCACTTTATCATCACCCCTAAATACAACGCATGGGATGCACTTGCACAAAGCAGTAGCCCCCCATACACGTGCATGGGGTGTCATTCTTGATTTAGACAGTTTTCAAGAAGGTCGATAAATCACTGAAGACCATCAATTTGAACAATCATCTTGCATCACACAGTTGTTCGTGTGTGTTTCTTCTTTTTTGTTTGAATTTGTTTTTGAAGAGTATATATCATTTGACATTTTATCCATCCTTGAATGAATTCATCCTTTTCTATTTGTCAGTGCGGGGTCAAAGAATTTTCTTTTATCTTGTGAGTTTGTCCAGTCTTGTTAATGTTTTATCCAGGTGTTATACCGTCCACTGGTAGCTTTTATGTTGTCAACATTCCATCAAAAACAGATCTTGAGGATCCAGTTGTCTGGCACGCCGCAAACAATGGTTGGAGTTGTCTCCCTTGGCATGCCATAAACCCATGATTCGTAACTACTCATGTCATTCCGGCAAGCCGGATGGCGACTCGTACCCCTCTCATGGTCATGTTCATGACTGGGCCTTGTCTAAGCGCAAACAGGCACAGAGATGAAAGTAGTCAGGACTATTTCCAAGGAAAGATAACTCTGAATTTCCAAACATGGCTACTCTTAGAAATTTATAGTACAACACGAAAGTCACTTTAGGTAAGTTTCTTATGTCGTTAACAAATATCAGCAACAAGATAATTTTATAATCATGGAAATAATAATGAAAATCAATAATCGCAAAGAAACTATTTGACTCATTTCACATTTTACTACATGTGATTTGATTGGTTTGCAATTCTTGGCAATAATGGCATGCTATTCGGGTACGAGTCTTCTTATAGGTCACGGAAAGAGACGAGTAGTTACGAACGCCATTATTGTGCATTCAAACCCATTTTGCCCCAATTAAGTTTCTAGGTTTGTCAACCCGTTGTTTTCGTGACTAGAATATTGGGGACTAACTATATCATAAAACCCCGATTTGAACCATGCTGGCTCAAAATGTAACCCAGTATCTATCTGATCTAAAACCCAATGGCTTCAAGGAAAGATATAGTTCCGTGGCGGATCCAGTTGTGAAAATGACAAAAGACCAAAGTTAATTGAAGTTAATGTTTTGCAATGGCGGAGCCAAGGTGGGGTTCAGGGGGCTCAAAACCCGTCAACCCCCTCCTTTGAAAATTTCAATATTCACAGAAACAATATTGAAGCCGATTACTTTATATATTTTTAGCTCACCTGATCTTTTCCACATCCAGTTTCCCCAAACTTGCCCTACTCTAATGGAGTACAGCAGTGCAACCAATAGTCACTAAGAATGCTGGTGTCGTCTTTATATTTAATTTCACCGGTTGTCTTTTACACTGAGTGATCTATGTAGTCAAGTTGTGATAGATTGCGTTGGTATTGTTTTGTGCTGTCAGTCTTGTTGGTTCGACGAAACAAATTTGGATTCAGAAGTTGAATTTAGGGACAGGGGATAAAATTAGTATTCTTCTTTCTTTTCGTCACATATTGGGATGTTCCCCAGGGAACGCAAATTGAATGTCTCTCAATCTGTTGTTTTGTGTGATATTATAAGGAACTGAATCTCACCAATAATGGCAAATGGTGCCACAGTTTTAAAATATTTCTTCAGTTACTTAACCATCTTTAAAATTAGGTCACATTTTATTTTGGGGTCGGGGAGAGGCTTGTGGTCTGTTCATTCTAGCTGTTCAATACTTCTTTCATTTTAAACCATTCTAAATAGAAGTGATGGAGAAACGTAGTAGTTTTACGTCTTTATTCTGGATATCTGGACACGAAGCATTCATCGGGACATGGTTAGTCCAAGCAACTCTTTTTATACCATTACGATTCATGAATACATGACATGTTTTATGGAGAACTTCTGTTTTAATCTTTACACGATGTGAGCTAATTCTCGCCCCTTCATCACCTGATTTTATTCTAAATG